CTTGGTTCCACTCTGCTAAAGTAGAGCCAAGCTGCATTGACTAGCTCTCTCTCCTGCAGCACCGGACATGTTTCAAGTGCCTGGATGGGGTTATGAATTTTCAATATTGTAGGATGTCTCTGTGACAGTATAGCGTCAAGGACCAGCGCCCTAGAAATAATAGGAGAACAGCTGGGTGTAGTTTCGCTGTACCTTCATACAAAGAAAAACCAAAGGACAATCCAGAAACACTCCCGACCAGGCCTGGATGTTCGGACCTTGGACCACTAATTGAAGAGCTTGCAAGGGAGTGTCACAGAGGCAAGAAATGTTGTCGGTCTTGGGCAGAAATGTTGTTGTCATTGCTTCATCTGCAACTGTGGTCAATGCAATGGTCAACATCGGACGTCCCCCACAGCACCAAGTTCCACACCCACTCCATTCGGACTTTTCCTCAGAGAAATGTGATGATCGCCAGCGTCGAAATTTAGAAATCAGATTCGCATGGTAACTAGTTATGGCCATTGTGAGCGTCACGAACCCTGTTGTTGTTGGTGTCACGTCCGTACGGGCCCCCGTGAATTTGCACGTTTTTGAAGCAGACAGGGTTCCAACAGTCATTCAGGGGGGGTTGGGGGGGGGGGCAAATGACGTCGGTTCGCGTTTGGGTCATTTCGTGTTTTCGTCAGTTTGTGGTTTCGTCGAGTCGCGTGTTCGTCGGGCGTTGTTTTTTTGAGTTTGGCAGCCGGATGTCAGACAAGAGCGCGCCGCAGACACCATCTCGGGCCGCTGGTTCGCGGGAGGACCCGATTCTCGGTGTAAAAGTAAAAGACTTTTGATAGTGACCTCAGGCTTGCTTCGGAATGTTCGAGCAGGTTCTTTGTTGTGTGCAGATGGTGCACTTGCATGGTCGGCCGCTGCTTTCGAAGCGCTTGACTGTGAAACACGTCAAGCATGTGAAGAGTCAATGGACTAAGAGGGCCAATCATCACACCCATCAGCTAGATCGGCTGTGGTTGTGGATGAAATTCATCCCGCCACAAAGCAAGAGCCGGTCCAAAGGATTGTTGAACCCACGGCTGTGGAATAGAGTGTATCGGTGGGTGTATCGCCACCACACGCGAAACACCTGAGAGCGTGCCGACCACGGCTGAAAAAAGGCCGCTACAACCTTTTTTCGACTTTTGAAACGCTCGAAACGCCATTTCGTATGGGCCTGCCCACACGAAGACGGGGGGGGCCCGTACGGACGTGAAACCTTGTTGTTGATCTCATACAATTGTTCATTCATCAAATGAACATTCCTTGCACTGTTTACCATGGCTAATTTGGTGATACTCCGAATCAAACTCCTCAGGACGGATCGGCTTCCGGAAGCCTGTCTGTCCGAAGCAACCAAGCACTTCATCCAAAGCCTCTCATCTTTGGCGAATCGATTTTTTTTCATTTTATCAGCTCTCAAATGAACATTAAAAGCGACTATGTTGACACGCTTGTTGGACTGTCGCTGCTGCACTGACGGCTCAGGAAGCACACGTGATCCTTTTAGAAAGAGGACTCAAACTTGGATGTATAGAAAGTGTATGGTGCTGAAGAATATATAGGACTACGCTTCACTTCTCCAAAGCCTCCCAATGCCTAACCACCTCTTGGGAGACTTGCAGAGTTATATACTTGCACCTGGCAGTTTCTAATGGTTTGATACAATCGGACGCGATCCATCGCACCTTCTTCTTCCCCACGGTGTAGAAGTTTCCATAGTAGCCTGTAGCAGATTACTGTGCTTCAGAATTTGTAAGATGATGGTGGTGGCAAATAAAGAATTGCTGCATGCAATCAAACGGGGAAGGACGAAAGGCACTTGTCCACTCTACACAAACCCCAAAGTGCACGGTGCTTTTATAAAAGCACCTTGAAAAACTGCAGACCCATCTTCAACCGGAAAGAAGACCCGGCCTACGATGTTGATGTGTGGAGGCAAAGAAGCAAGGATCCGAGCTTCGCCGCACCGCTCCGAGGCTACTCCTCCTTCTCCAATGCAAAATGTTTCTTCAGCTCAGCTGCGTTTCTCATCTGGTTATTTGGGTCTGAAGTCTGAAGCCAAGTTGTTTTGAAGAGTTTGTTCTGAACTGAAGTCGAGAAGTTAACTTCAATGTGCCAAAGAATGGACGCTCTACCACAACTGGAAGCCCTTGCCTGAGAGACCAATTTTGGCCACCAATCGGCTTTGCGAGGAGATGCTCGGTTCAAAGGACTGTCAGGGTGCCAGAGCCGGGTCCGAGGTCCAACCACTGAACTATTCTCTAACTCTACATGGTCCATACATGCCATTCTGCCATTTGGATTTATGTTGATGCTATCAGGTAGCCAAGGAGAGTTTGGTCAGGGCATGAAACCTACTAGAAAGATCATTCCAGCATGTTTGTGACGGTTAAAGAGGACCAGAATCAAAAGTTGTTTCTTCAGGAAGCATGGTTGACAGGAATTCTCAAGGATTGTCCGAGGAGATCCACAAATTGAAATTCAACCATTTTCCAGACCTGCCTGTGCTGGTATTTACTGCACACTGGGGGGGAACTTCAGCCAGTTGGGCGAGGGTGTGGGTGACACACTGTTTTTTACTTGGGCTGCGAGCATGATCTGCCAGTATTTACAGCATATCGAATGCATAAATGAGCTCCGAGTGTTGAATCTGTGGTATTTGCAGCATTCAGACTGTGAGTGAACCCAACCATGGAACAGCACAAAACCATATTTCTGACCTGCTTGCATTTGGGTGTTCAGCATTTGCTGCCCAGCTATGAACTTGAGGCTCCTCACTGCTCTGAGTTTTACTCTCGCGTGGCCCACAAAAGGTGCCTATGGCAGAATGGCTCCTTGCTGCTCTAATCTTCGATCTACCTGTACCCGGGGTGGCCCACTACAGGTGCATGAGGTTGTGTTGCCTGTGCCGGGTCTCAATGAGCAAACGAATTCAGCAAATCAATCAATTGTTATGGCAAAAATCTGCAGATTTCGTGGCACAGAAGGGGGACTGGGGGGCAATGGGCACACAGCAGCTAATGCATCCTTGTCGGCTTCTGTTGTTGATGCTGCTGTTGTTGCCGCTGTCTCATGACTACTTTGACTTTTGTCAGGGGTTCAGGAGACCAGGCCAGGAGACCAGGGGCCCTACTCCAAAAAACATGTGTTTGACACTTTTTCTTTGATGTCTACTGTTTTAATGCTTGTCTTTGTTCGTTGATGCTCATCTCACTTCCGATGTATTCTTGAAGCTTTCATGAAAAAGGTCTCCGAAGTCACCCTCTTTGACCCCCCAACGACACCTGAGATGTGTCCACCATTTTCACCTGCTCAACAGCGAAGACAGCAGCGGAACTGCCGCTGCCAACAGGCTCGCCAAGATTTAGAAGGTGTGAACCTCAGACATGGTGGTTGTAGGACGCCACTAGGAGCAAGGACGCTACTAGGGGCTCCAGTCCTGCACCCTGTCCTCCTACAGACCAAAGGAACGATAGAATCTTATCCTTTGACCTTCATCCAAGTTGACATGAAATGATCGGCAACGGCATATGAGCTGTATGATACATATGTGAATGCACTAGATAAGCAATGATGCAGGGCTGTCTGGAGCAGGGCGGATGTTCTGCTTCTCTCTATAAACATTGCTACAAAGAGTTGGGTTGGAGTGGCTGAGGGCAAAGGAGTTATCCTTGTCATGAAAGTCTGACCAAGTATCGATGCACATGTTCAAAGCAGCTTCTTCTATGTGGACATTATGATCGCATTTGGCCCTAGTATCAGCTGTTCTCATCTGGTTAACCTTCAGCGATGCCATGTTGAGACTTTGTATATCCCGGCGGGGAACAAAGGGCATTACTACTAGTAGCATTCCTGCTACTAGGAACAAGAAGCATGTGTCCTTCGCTCTTGAGTCTTGAGGAGGCCGAAGGCAAATTGTGTGGAGAGTACAGGGAGGTTCAGTGCAATAGGTTTGACAACCAAGCCCAAACACAAACCCACTACACGGAAGGGCGGCCGTAGGGCGAGCTAGGTAGCTACTAGTAAGTGGCGCTACTAAGCTGAAGTAGTTTCTTGGGCTTGGACGCAGGAGGGCTCAGGCTTCTTCAAGGAAGCTCCACCCATCTGAGGGCAGGGGAGCTTCCTTGAAGAAGCCCGAACCTCAATGATTTGGTCCCTAGATCTTGGGGGAAACTTAACATCATCTCTTCTGAGCAATGGGCCATGCTCGCAAAGGGGTGCGGCTGCATCTCCTTCAGTTTGGAAAGATATCTCTATGTCTCTATGTATGGGTATACAGAGATTGCCTGGCAACTTATCTCCACGCTACATTACTTTTGTCAGGCAAGGTGTACAAAAAGGTTGAAAGGCATTGGCTTCTGGGAACTGCTGTCTATGCGATAGCTTGCACACCTCACAACTCGGTGAACCAAATGGTGCTTCTGCGTGAGTTTCTCTTGGACTCTTTCTTGGACTTCACTTCACCCACAAGAAAGTTTCATTTGACTCATTCTCTCATTCACAAAATGACCGCAGATCTCCTGGATTGTGGGCAGCAGCGGCTTTGATAATCATGAAATCCGCGCGCCACCGGAGCAAATGTTTGCGCCGCAGAAAAAGCACAGAAAGCTAGCTTGGGTTATTTACTGTAATGAATGCAAGTTAGTAAAATCAAAAGCATGCCAATAAAAGAGGATTGGTTTTTAGATGAAAGGAGCGTGTGCCGGGCCGTCTGGCCACCGGCTACTATGTAACCTAGCTTGAGCATCGGACACAAGGGTACACAACCTCAGTAGCGTTCTTGTTCCTAGTAGCAAGAATGCTCCTAGTAGTAAGGCCAGGCCCCTAGTAGCGTCCTTGCTCCTAGAAGCGATGCCAGGAGCCCCTAGTAGCTTCTTGTTCCTAGATCAAAATCAATATCAAAATCAGACTCTCAAATCAATTATGTTGGCTCAGGGAATTAGAAGTGAATTGACCGCGACAACGCACAGGCTCACCACCTGATTTGCATCTCGAAGGAGAGCACGAGAGACCAAGGCCACCTGGCAGTCAAACAAAGCCGAGCCTTAAAGTGAGGAGGCTCCTTTGATTCCACGGTATTCTCTTTGTGCTCAAAAATCAATGTGTCCATATCCCCTGCAGCAGACTGTTTCATAAGTTCAGTCCACCTAAGCGAGAGTTGATTCCAAACTGAACAAAAATAGAGATCAATTGAATCCATGCTTCACGAAAAGCGGTCTTTGTTTTATTGAGCCAAACACGCAGGCGTTTCAGCCTGTGGTCTTGTGTACCTAGTTGTACACTTCTCGTTTTGTGCGTCCTGTTTCAAGATCCGCACTCCCCCCGTCCGCTTTCGGACGTCAAAGCCGCCTCATGCCATTTCGCATGAGGAAGAGCGAAAAACCGACCCAGGAGCCCGGCCCGATCAGTTCTGCTCGTCGCCAGTCGCAGTCCACGACCACTCTTCGGTGCCATTCGCTGCCCTTCCAAGCGATGGTGACTCTCATGAACTCCAAGTCATCGATCTCTTCAGGACAGCTGCGATGCTCAGGATGGAACCTCTGCACCCGCGCACCTCCATGGTAGCGGACCAACCATCTGCAGCCATCCATGGTCAAGTGATCCCATCGATCACTCTTGAGCGTTGGCTTGTAGAACAACGCTTCTTCCTCGATCAAATCCTGAATGTCATTCAGGATCTCAGGCGTCCAAAACACCGAGTTTTGGAACTCCAACTGATCATCCATCAAGCCCCCAACCGGCCTGTTCCACGGCCTGTCAGTTGCCGGCTGCCGCATTCGCTCCAGCGTAGGGGGTCCCGTCGAGCTCGAACTCCTCGCCGCAGCTGCCGACTTAGAAACTCCTTGGAGAGTGGTTCCCGCCGCCTTTGAAGTGTGTCCCATGGCAGTGCCCATCGCCTTTGAGGATGCCATCGCCGCCTGCCCTCGCTCAGCAGCTTCACTCGGCCTTGAAGAACCACTCGATGTAGCCCCCCCATAGCCACGCGGTTGAAAGGGTACAGGAGGTTGTTTAGGGGGGGGGCACCGGAGGCCGCTTTGCAGGTGGCGGAGATTTCACCACCAGCCGTTCATTTGGGATGAGGCGAATCGTCTGGGTCTCCATGTCCACCTCTTCAGGCCGCAACGTCCGGATGCCCTCACTGGTGACCACCATCGGCGGTCTTGTCATATCGTAGGTGCCCGTGTCCATGGCCTCTTGCGTCACCCTGGTGTTCGTGTAGTGCACCTCTTCCGGCTGCCCTGCATCTCCTCCAAGCCATTCGCGTCCACCTCGGAAGACAGCAGGCAGCCTCATCTGGACGCGCCCCCACACGCCATGGCTCGCGTTCGCCGCCTCCACCTCGAACACAGTGGAGTTGGGAGCCTCTAGGCTACGGTCTAAACCCCCAGGGCCTTCAGTTTCCGAGACACATTCCCCTGGAGGTGGCGTGCGGCCCGACGCCGATGAGTTTCTGGCCTCTTGAACATTTCTTATGTTTTCTTGACTGGTCCGTTGTTCTGACCCCTGTTGGTCTTGTTCTTCCCTTGCCGGCGAAGGCCGCAGGGCACACAAACGAGGTTGCAGCCGGGTGGAGTGTTCAGTAGATCTCAATTCTTGTTGAATTTCCCTGTCTGACATGGTTGAACACTCCCCCGGATCTTGGTCCCTCGTCCAAAAACCCCTGCTAACCCCGGCTCACTTCATAGGCCAGCCCAATCGCAAGCGCCGCTGCCACCGCCGCCTTTGCACTGTAGGAAGGCCAGGTCATAGCCGCGCACCCAGCCAAACGTGCAGCAAGCTTTGCCACCCGCACCATGGATTCCACCGCGTCCTGCGAACCCTCCCCATCATCAGCAGCCACCCCACCCAGGTTCTCGACCTTCAGGAGGTTGGTGAACGCCCGGAAGCGGTCCCAGGAAGCTCGAACCGTGATGCTCTTGGTCAGGTAGTCGGCGATCAGCTGCGTGCCCGCCATATGGAAGATCTTCCATCGCCCCTGTTGAGCTCATTCCCGAAGCACGTTAGCTCGGAGTCAAAGGTGTCTGGTACGCCATGGACCATCCGGATTGCGCACGATGGAGATGGCAGCCTGACTGTCGCCATAGGTGACGATCTCCGGCGTCTCTCCATGCACCTCCGTCCACAGCGCCTGCAGCGAATCCCCCATAGTTAAGGCCTCCACGTAGGAGTACAGCTCCGCTTCCGCCGTTGACAATGCCAGGCACGATTGCCTGGAAGTTTCCCGGTGCAGAGTGGCGCCCGCAATCATCGCCACGATGCCTTGCACACTTTTCTCCCCTTGCGGGGCATACGAAATGTCACTGAAGAGCTCCACCAACGATGTAGAGCGCTCCAGAGGAAGATCACCATGAGGTCCACGATCACCAGGTCCACAGGGAACATAGTGCAGGAAGTAGTCCATCGTGCCATTCAAGTACTCCAGAACATGTTGTCCCACCCGAAGCACCCATCTCGGCCGTTTTGTGACCTCTTTTCCCATAGCGCTGATGGCATAGGACAGGTCAGGCCGACTGCGAATGGCCACCCACAGGATCTCCCCCACGATGCCCTGCGCCTTCTTGATCTCCTCCGCCGTCACCCCTTCTTCCACCTCTGGAGGAGGTACGGCGTCCTTTGGCAGTGGAACCGTCTTCTTGTCCACGATGTTGTGCCTCTGCAGCAACTCACCCAGGTAGGAGGGTTGACCTAACAACAAACCTCCTTCATGGCTTTTGAGCTCGTACCCACAAAACCTCACCCAACCCTGGTCATCCACCGTCTCGGGCGTGGACGTTTTCCACCGGGACTGGATGCACTTGAGAAGACCAGGTCGTGCCACTGCATCTCCCATCACGAGAAGGTCGTCGACGTACACCAAGAGAAGGCCTCTGACCACCTGCGTCTCCTTCTCCACAATGCGCCACAAGTTGCGCTCCTTGGTCTGGATCAGGTGGTAGGCGACGTTGTTGTCCTCCCACGTCAGCTCCTCCAGGACCTGATCCCTGTAGATCGCCCAATACGATGGACTCGTATTGAACCCGTAGAGTGCTTTTCTGATGAGCCAGACCTCATCCGGTTCACAGACTCCCAGGTCCACCATCACCTTCGGCGGCTGAACTGCCACGGGCTTGCCACCTGGTTGATGTGGTCGAGGAGCTTGCAGAAACGCGGACTTCACGTCCAACGAAGTGATCTCCCAACGACGTTGACTGGCCTCCAACAGCGATGCCCGAATGAGCACCCCATCCGCCCCACTTGCGTAGGAGCCACCAGGCAAACCTCCAGGAGGTGGATCAGCTTGCTCCGAAGCCAGGTTGCCGCAGATCACCGCCCTCGATCTCTTAGCTCCTGTGCCCCCTTTCTTGCAACAGACCATCTTCCCCGGAACCAGCTCCGTGCCCGGCGCCAACAAATGCCTCTTCGCGGGGACCACCGCCTCAGTCTCCTTGACCAGCACGTCGTACTCATACTGGAACGAAGGCCTCCATGCGTCCGCATTCTCCCGCACCTCCGAGAGCGGGACGGTCATGGTCTGCAGGACCTGTTCACCTTCTCCACCTTGTTGACCTTGAGCTTGAAGAGCACATAGTCGGATCTGTAGGGCCTTGGCCACCCGACTCAGCTCCATCAACTGACCTTCAACTTCATCGCGCCAGCCCAGAAGGTGATTCACCAACTCACCCTGCACCGCCCCCTGCTCCTCCGTGGTCGGCACTTGGTTGATGCACCCCAAAAGCTGCTCTTGTAGACACCCCTGTTGGTCACCCCAGGAGTCCTCTAGCTCTTGCACTGACAACCACCTCGCCCCTTGGTAGTGCGGCTCGATGTCAACAGCGGCCAATGCTCCTTCGTCCCCAGTCTCAACCCTCAACGTCCGCACACCTTTGGATGATGACGATGTAGTCGAGATAGGAATGGCCAGAGGGTTGTCTCTCCATATCACAGCTCCCCCGGGCCTCGCGTCTCCAGCTCCCGCGGTCTCACCAGCAACTCCCCCAGGACCTGCTGCGCCCGAAGCTGTGCCCAAAGCTGTCGAAGAAGAAGGAGAAGAAGTCCCCCCCGCTGTTGGCATAGTCGCACCCTGTTGTCCTCCAGCTTGAGGAAGGCGTGGTTGTCCATCCAATGGCTGTTTCCCCCACATGCGATGGTATGGTTGGCCTGGTCGTGGCTCCTCCTCCAACTGTAGGCGGACTTGCGCTTGTTGGTCTTCAAGTTCCCGACGTAGATCCTCCGCCTCAGTGTTCGGTTGTACAGCTTCTCGAACATGAAGGATCTTGCCATCCTCAGCCTGCACCACCCATCCATCGTTCATCATGGGGCTTGGACACATCAGTCTGCCCTTCACAAATGGTGCCATTAGCCCCCCCTCCTTATGCCACTTCTTCGCCTTCACATACACAGTGGCATAGAATGGCAGCATAGGCAATGTTGGAACTCCAAGCTCCTCCAACTGGCGTCTTCGCCTCTCCTCCACCGCGTACCTCATCGCCGATGGCCAGAGTTGACCTGCGCATTCATGTTGCGCCAGCAGTAGCCTTGCGCGCCTTTTGACTTGGTTCACCTCAGCCTCTACATGGCCGCTGACATGGCCGTTGGCAGCAGGGTCATCTCCTCCAGTGGACGTTTGTACAATCCCCCATCGACTGCACCATGCCTCCACCTGTTTACTGATGAGCTCCTTCGCCCTGTCGGTGTGCAAGCGGTTCACCGCCACCCCCATGGCCTTATACTTGGTGATCAACTTCTGCAAGCCGACAATCACCTCAGCCTTGGCCCGGGATTCCAGCACCTCCATGCAGGTCACGTGCTTCAAAGGAACTCCACGTTGACACTTTTGGAGCTCCGCCTCAAAGTCATAGTCATGGGCTGGATCCATGATGTCCTGTTCCTCACTCCTCCATCACCCCCACATCCTCCCCCCGTTCTGGCGCCACCACCTTTTCCGGCGTAGAGTCCTCCTTGGGTGTAGGAACCTTTTCATCACGTTGATCCTCCGCCCCATCCTTCGCCGCGACGTCCTTCTCCGCCACGTCCTTCTCCG